TCTACCTTTACATACCTGCGTGTGTGTGCATGTGTGTGGTTTTGCATAATTTTTTGGCCTATCAGAATTAAAGTAAATTCCTTTCCTGTTGGGGTTTAGTGATTTGCCTTAATCCTCCATCCCTTCAAGCAGTATATGGGTCCACCACAGGCTTTGGACCTCCCATATGACTGAGAGGGCTGCTCTGTTCCCTGGCTCCTATAGCGCCTCTGCCGGCCTCTCCAGAAGCAGACCCTGAGACAAAGGCTTTGGGACAGGAGTTTGAGAAGCACCGCCCGGCAATAGGAAAGAGTGCCAACCACAGGTGTGTGAAAAAGTGGGTTACCACTGTAGCAAACTGGGTGCAATCCCACCAGGACCCTCTGAAAGAAATTAGAGCACCACTGAGAACAGTTTCATGGGAAAGGGAGTGAGCTGACACACCCCTCTGGAACTCCCATTCCTTATTCAACTCAGTGGTTGAAGCTGACTCCTAAAAGCATTAAATCCCCAGCCTCTAGGGTTGGCCGCGCTCAGAAGGCAGGCAAACTCCTGTGGCCAAAGAAAGCCCTCAAGCAAGGACCTCAGGGCCTTGAGGTGGGAGGCCCTCAGCATGAGGGGAAACTGCCACTGAAGCTTAAGGTGAGCTCAGGGGACATGATAGGGGCACCAACAGCATCTGCTGCAGATGAAATGTTACAAAGTCCCACACGGGGATCAGGCTCTGCCACCTAAAAGCATTTGAGGACGGCTGCATGACAGTGCCACTTTACTGACGTTTCAGAACCTATGCCATGAGCCCCTGCTCCCATGAAGACCTCTAGGTACGTGAACAAGAACAGCATGCCACAAGTGGAATTACGACTTCTCCTTTACTTGTAGAAAGATTACAGAGAAAATATTGTCTCTAATTTTATTAATAAATACTTCTAAATATAAAATGTTTTCAATTAAATATCTTAACTTTTTATAAATATTCTGAAAATGTTGGTCAGCAAAATACTTTTGGTAGCTCCTTTTATAAGTTAAAAACAACTTATTTCAACTCCTAGTACAGTGAATTTTATTTTAAACGCATTCTGGTTAATAAACTGGAAAGTGCAGAATCAAACACTGGAAAAGTCCTAAATAAAAATCTGCCAACATTTGAAATGCTAACAGAGTATGGTACTTTATAATGATTGAGGCTTTCAGTTGGAAGGATTTTAGGAAGCGGACAAAAGCCTAAAAGGGATGTTTTTACATGTGCACATTGATATATCTGCTATACATTTAAACTTTTAAAATGAAAAAATACGTTCCAAAAATGCCACAGCATAAACCATTTTCACAGTGATAGCCCGTTTTTGTAGTGCTCCCAAAACAGCAGTCTTTGATAATATAAAGCATCAATTTAGCCTTCATCCTATAATTTATCTTTTCTCTTTTTAAGTAAACATTGAGACTTCTGTTTTCAGAAACTTAATAACCATCTAGGCAAGTTCAAGTGCCTGGAAAATACACCACACTTGATATGTCTGGTTCCCATGATGAAAAGTGCACTCAGTGCATAGCAAACCGATCAGAATTGAGCTCTTGGAAAGATACCCCTGTTGCCAAACTCCACCACCACCTCCTCTGCTAGAATTACACAAATGTGCTTAGTACTGAAATGGAATTTTCTAAAATAAAACAAGTCAATCATTCTGTTTTTCAGTCCTAAAAAACTTAGATCTTGGCAAAACATTTGAGACATTTTTAAAAGCTCTGGACTCTACACAGATGTATGCGTGACCGATCACAGTTGGGATCTTTTAAGACAGTGGTTTTATGTTGGGTTTAATTTCCATTGTATTTAGAAGAAACCTAATGCCATTAGAAACCCTCAGTACAAGGGAGATAACTTCAGGTCTTAAACTGACCAGCTTTGTTCTATTGTGTTCTTATATATGAAACATTGTGAAATATAAAAAAAAGAATGCACTTGATAAATATAAAATGCCACTTTACTAGTAACAATCTCTTGTTTGCCTTGGGAGAAGAATGATTTATATCTTCAAATGCAAAGACTCATGGGTTTAGATTCACTGCAACAGTTAAGGCTAAAGTCAAGGGAACAGTCCACAAGACTGCCTTCATTGCTGACACCAACTGCAAATACGGAGGGGTTCCAAAACCATCCTCAAATTTAATAATTCGCTAAAAAGACATAGGACTCGCTGAAAGTGAAAGGCTAGATTAAAATCAGCCAAGGGAACAGTGCACAGGGAAGAATCCAAGAAAAGCACCAAATGCAGTTCCCATTGTCCTCTTCCCATGGAATCAGCATAGCATCACCTTCCCAGCATCGAAGTGTGATAATACACATGAAATATTGCCAACCAGGGAACCCACTCGAGCCTTGGTATCCAGAGCACTTACTGAGGTGCCACTGTGGAGGTACAATTAGCCTTCCATATGGTTGACCTCAGTCTCCAGTATCTGGGCCCTCCAGAGGTCAACTGACCCCACATGACCCAAAGTCCCCACCTTATATCATATTGTTACCACCTACAATGTCCAGGTCCTATCCTCAGACTGTGGAATATGGTGACCCCCCACCCTAAATTACATTTTGAGACTATCCAGTGTGAGCTAAGCCCTCCAGGCAAATGAAGACAATCCATCAGGCACGATATTCCAAGGACTTGGATATCACCTCCCAGAAGCTAAGGACAAAAGTCAGACCTGTTTTGTGGCAAGGTTAAATTCTTCACTTTCAGTCATAGAATCAGTTGTATGATTATTACAGTTATATATTTTATATTATATTAAATATATATTATAGCCACATTTTATATTCTACTTACAGTCACTTATTCATATTAAATATGTTTGGCTATTGTGAAATATAGTTAAGGCCTTTAAAAGCTTCATATGTAACAACTACAATAGAAACTCCATAGTTGACCACCTCCCTACATTGACCACCTCAAATGGACCTCATTTTCATAGACTGGACATGTACCACATGTACTTAATGGAAAAACTGGCCTCTACATATTGACCACTTCTGTATATTGACCACTTAGACTATGACACACAGTATATAAACTGCTTTCTAGAATTTGACCAGTTGAGTCTACTCTACACCAAGGGGGCAGAAGGTAGGGGTTTGCCCCTCAGTTGCATTATTTTTTCTTTAGTGTCAGTTCTTTTTTCATTTTTTATTATCACCACATGTTGGATTAGCCCTAATGTCTTATTGTTTATCACATGTTCCGGAATATTTTTTCAATGAGAAGGACTGATTTGAATCCTAGGTATATCCTACATGGTTGAAAATTTTTATAGTTAATCAAGACATGATGGCCCAAAGGAAAGAATTCAAAGAGCTAACATTGAAGAAAAAGGATGATCTTCATTATCTGGAAAGCAGCTGCCAAAGAAAGACAGCAAAACATTTTGGTGTCAGCAAGACCACAGTTAGCAACATCCAAAAACATAAACACGGGCTGGGCAGCTGTAGCTCGAATCCAGCCCGGACCTGCCAAACAACAATGACAATTACAAGGAAAAAAATAGCCTGGTGGGCACCTGTAGTCCCAGCTACTTGGGAGGCTGAGTCAAGACAATCACTTAAGCCCAAGAGTTTGAGGTTGCTGTGAACCTGAGCCATGGCACTCTACCAAGGGCAACATAGTGACACTCTGTCTCAAAAAAAAAAAATAAAATACAATTTAAAAAATCATAAACACTAGTACTTGGAGAGAAGTAGTAAGGAAAGCAAAGACCTACAGAGGAAAAGAAGGAAAATTTACCTCGATGAAGTAACTGTAACCACCTTAAGCTGGCTCAAACAAATAAAGGCAGTTAACGCCTCAATCTCCCGGCTGATGATCCAAAAAGTTGCTAAAAAAATTCACATAAGAATTCCAAGTGGCAGATTTCCAAACATCAAATGGTTGGCTTGAGAAATTTAAATGGCAACATGAGATCTCCCAGAAAGTCTTTGTGGTAAATCGAATGAAGTTCCAGTAGAAGTTATGGAAGAGTCCATTAAAAAGTTCAGAGGCTTCAAAGATGACATCTTTAATGCTAACAAGTGGAGACTCTCTTTCAAGGCGATGCCTGACAGGAGCCTTATCATGAAGGGTGACAAATGTAAAAGCAGAAAACTTTCCAAAGAATGTTTCACAGTTCTGCTGTGAGCTAGCTCAGCTGGAGAAAAACTAAAGCCCTGGTGATTGGTAAATTGGCAAAGCCAGGTGCATTCAAGAACCTGAAGCACAATGGCCTCCCCATCACTTGGATGACTGGTGTCCTATATTTGAGGAGTGGGTGAGTAGTATCAACCAAGAAATGAAGAAGAAGAAATGATCTATTCTACTGACAGTTGACAACTGTCCTGACCACCCACGTGTGAATCATCTCACAAATATGACACTGTAATTTCTGCCTCCAGAAGCAGTTGATGAAGTGGATCAGAAGGGTGTTCCGAATTCTGTCCCACAGTCTCTGTTTGAAATACTGTATTTGTTCCCTGCTTCAGAGCAGTAATTAAAGAACACTTAGTTTTTACTTGGGCAGTGAGGGAGCTCAATACATGACCTTCAAGCCCCCTGGACTTTACCAACTGACTTCTCCCCCAAGACTTCCTTCCACGACGCCCTGCAATAAAAGTAAATAACCCTGGATTTACTGATTTCCTGGCTTAGCTATCTGCTACATGATGTTGTCATTCCAGGTCTTGCTAATCCTAGCGTCAGTGTCTCGGTCCCGGCTCTGAGTCCACCGGCAAGTCAGACCTTTGGGGTTTCTGGTTCCCAGTCCACGCAGAGCGACCTGAGGTCTCCTCGCGCGCCCGCTGGAGTCCCAGCATTGGGCGCGCCGCTGGACTACATTTCCCACAGTGCTCCGGGAAGTCGGCGCCACTGAGGTCGGAGCCCGGCTGGCGAGCTCGGGCGGAGATTCCTGGGAGTTATAGTCCAGTCCGGTAGAGCCGGCGCTGCTGCGGGCTCGGCGCGGGCCTTTGTCTGTCTGCGGGCGCGCGCCGCTGCGGTGAGTGAGGCCGCCGGCCGGGTTAGTACACCCGGGCTTTAAGCGGGACTGCGCTGTCAGGCCACCGCCCCCAGGCCCTCGGCTTGGCCGCCTTGCGCCTGCGGTCCCCGCGGCAATAAGCAGGGCTGGCCGGCCTGGGCCCCGAGGGAGGCGCGAGAGGAGAGGTCTGTGGCCGGCAGAAAAGGGTCCACTGAACCGGACAGCGGGGTGCTTAGGTCAAGGAGGCAAGGGCCCTGGAGGCCTGAGGCGGAAGGGGAGGGTCTGCGCGAGAGCTGGGGCCTCGTGGAGCGCTGCGCCCGCAGGGCAGTGCCGAGACCAAGGCCCTGCACTCCAGAAGCAGGTGTGCCTCCAACCCCCAGGGTTTCAGGAGAGGGACGGGAAGACAGCGCAGGCTTTCTAGGGTGGGCAAGAAGAGGCTGGCTATTTTTCGATTCCAGCCCGGAATTAGGTAATAGCCACAGGGTGGAGAATGGGAGAAACTGGGAGTCGGATGTAGGGGAAAATCACCCCCTGCCCATCCTGAAAGCTCCTCATCCTGAAACTCTACTCCAAGAGGTTCCCAAGACGGCAACATTTACCCTCTCCTAGTCCTCTTCTGAAGAGACTATGTTTAGTCTCTCCTAGTCCTCTTCAAAGGACTCTCAGAGTATAGGACTTCTAAAGACTGTAGGTTGTGTCAGAGACCCTTCACATTTGGTTCTTTTATGCTTCTGGGAGCTACCCAATAAGACAGGTATTAACCTAAATAAGTGAGGAAACTGAATCAGAGCTGTTCAATTAGTTGCCCAAGGTCATAACGGGGAATCGCTGCAAAAATCTTAAAGAGTCTCTTAGGACCTATTTCTGTGCTTTTTCCAAAGGATATAATGGCCTTTCTAAAAGGAAAAACAGTATTTTCGACTATTAAGACACTTTCTCCAAGATCTGCAGGAAACTGATTCCTCAGACCTGTGATCTAGGGAGGGAAAAGATGACACTGTCCCCTTTATAAATCAAGAAAGTGCCTGAGACATGGCTGAGTTATTTGTTGAAGACCTCATGGCAGGTAGAAAGACACACTTGTTCTGACCAAACTTTTCTGTAATGCCCAGCGACAGAATCCAACCCCAGGTAGCGGGTGCCATGTGCTTTCCACTAACTCTTAGTGGATGTGCAGTTGTTAAGCAGGAATACCCGAGAACTTCCAAGTGAAGTGTTGACACTCTGGTAAGGAAGTCCTTTATAGCTTGTGTTTCAAGTTGCAAGTGAGTCCTCCAAATAAACATTCACATTGGCTCTCCTCGTTATCACAACACTTAGCAAAACGTACAGTTGCCAAGAAGAACCAAACAAAACAAGAATTGTAAGCACCATGCTACTATCTAAATCAGGCTAGCACTTTGATAGGACATATTAGAGGGAAACAGATTATGTACTGAACCCTACATTTTTAAAAAAAGTATACGAATTCAGTAATTAGGGTACTGAAGTAAGAAGAAATATTCAAAAATAGCAGGAAAAGATTATGTGGAACACCATATAAAAGAATTCCTTACACATGGAAGAGTCATTCACTCTGTTCAAACTCTGTTCCCTTCTGTCCCATTTTATAAGAATCCTTACCAACTCTTCAGTAGGATGAGCTAGAGAACTTTCTAGTATAAGAACACAGGGTTTGGATCTAGAAAGTCTTGGATTTGAACCTTTGCTCCACCTTGATTCCTTACTGGTCGTGGGACTTTGAACAAGTTACTTAATCTGATTGAAGTGCCTTGGGCTTGGTTTTGGAGTCCTGAGTATGTCTTACATTTCCAAGAATTATCAAGTGTTTACACTTCTTTAGAACTGGTACTTTCATATCTTCAAGAGTAGGAGAGGGGTGGTTCTGGGTCTGGAGAACTAAGAATTGTTAAAAGGTAACACAGGAAATCCCTTCTTAAAAGCCCTTATAACCTATGGAGATACTGGAGAGGACTGCTGGAACTATATCCAACATGGAAAAAATTGTGAAGTCTGAAGTGCTGGGTTTGTTTTTTTTTTGTTTGTTTTGAGACAGAATCTCAAGCTGTCACCCTGGGTAGAATGCTGTGGCATCACAGCTCACAGCAACCTCAAACTCATGGGCTTAACAATTCTCTTGCCTCAACCTCCCAAGTAGCTGGGACTACAGGTGCCCGCCACAACGCCCAGCTATTTTTTTGGTTGGAGTTGTTATTGTTGTTTGGCGGTCTGGGCTGGATTTGAACCTACCAGCTCTGGTGTATGTGGCTGGCACCCTACCACCGCTTGAGGTACCGGTGCTGAGCCAGAAGTGCTGGGTTTTTAAATTCTGAATTCCTCTGGGACTTGGAGGATAGGTTAGGTGAGGGAAGGAAGTGGGACTATCCCAATCATGTGCCAAGACCAAACAAACAGGAGGGACCAGTACCTTGGAATCAGCAGGCAAAAATACATATTTATGCATTCTCTGCCTTCTCACCTCCTATTTCCTCCTGGAGTCATTTGAATGTGGCCCTGGCAGCTTTGAGCCCATGTTGTAGTGACATTGCAGGTGACTGGAATTAGATCAGGTGATCCATATTTCCTATATTTACTTGCACCCCAAACCAGAGCTCCTGTTAACTTTATCCTTCCTATTTATCAATTCTGTCTTTTCCTGTTGGGTTTTGTTTGTTTCCCTCAGGTGCTCAGGACCAGCCCATGGAAGAATCGTATGAAGAGGTGGTGACTAAGGTCATAACAGCAGAAGTGGACATGTTTGGATTCCCAACAGCTACCCTGCTGGACTGTCATGGAAGATACACCCAGAATGTAGCATTCTTCAGTGAGTAAATCAGTTGATGGCCAGGATGCCCTCAGTTCACAGATACTCAGTGTTCCTGCCCTCAGCACTGGCAGGCAGTCTGAGAAAGTGAAGACTTTCCTTTGGTGCAACTTACTCTGCCTAGATGTTACAGGAAAAGCCTACAGGCTGGAGTTAGAAATAATACTAAAGTCCAGGCATGGTGGCTCACACATTTAATGCTAGTACACTGGGAGGCTGAGGCAGGAGGATCATTTGAACCAACCTAAGCAAGAGCAACTCTTCTCTACCAAAAAAAAAAAAAAAAAATGTTTTAATTGCCTTGGGCTTGGTTTTGGAGTGCATAGTACGTTTTTGGGTTTAATTTTTTAAAGAAATAATAGTAGAAGTAGAGCAAGAGAACAAGCTTGATACAGGAGTAGTCTTGAGGTTGTTTCTGAGAAACTGAACAACCAGCTTAAACTCAGTGCTGTCACTGACTATGGATAAGGCAAGGGAACAAGGAGAAAATTCCCCTAGGATGACACCAAAAAAACAGTTAACAGTCATGAATGGACCCATATTAAAATTGTACTAGGAGGACAGTATTGGAAAATAGTCAATATCTATCATAGGTAGTGTTTCAGAATAACTTCCAAACCAAAGTTGATTTCATTTCCATCATAGCTTAGTAGACTGAAAATAACATAGGTTTTAAAGGGAGAAATTTCTTTTTTTTTTTTTTTTTGCGATAGAGTCTCACTATGTCGCTCTTTGTAGAGTGCTGTAGCATCACAGCTCACAGCAACCTCAAACTCTTGGGCTTAAGCGATTCTCTTGCCTCAGCCTCCAAGTAGCTGGGACTATAGGGACCCACCACAACACCTGACTATTTATTTTTTTTGGTTGTAGTTGTCATTGTTTGGCAAGCCTGGCCTAAATTCGAACCCACCAGCTCCAGTGTATGTGGCTGGCACCCTAGCCACTGAGCTACAGGTGCCAAGCCAAAGGGAGAAATTCCTTGAGTCAAATTTCCTGACTAAATCTGTGACATTAGACAAGTTAACTTCCTTAAACTTCAGGCTCTTCATCTGTAAAACAGGAAGCTGTATCTTTTAGGGTTGCAGGGGTTAATGATGACAAATGTAAAGTGCTAAGGATTCTGCTACATATTTTCTAAGGTCATGGAACTTACTCTACTGTCAATAGAGAAGACTCGACAGAGGTGGATTTCTTATGAAGCTAATGAAACTAAAGCTTTAGGATCACTTGCAATGCTCTCTTCAAGGCCCTGTACCTAATTTTATACATTTTCTTAAAGGGGTACCCATAATATTTTAAAGCTTTGAGCCTTACACAACCTGGATCCACACCTGTTTTGGGATCAGATAAAAATTTGGTGTGAGGCTATATATGATCCTGTATAAGTTTTCTTAATTTTCTGAGCCTGTTTTTCATCTAAAGATATAATCATGTCTACTTTACAAGATTATATGTGAAGCTAAAATTAAATTTAAAGGCTGGGGTGGTGGCTTACACCTATAATCCCAATACTTTGGGAGGTCAAGGTGAAAGGAATGCTTGAGGCCAGGAGTTCAAGACCACCCTGGGCACCCCCATCTCTACAAAAGAATTAGGAAAATTAGCCAAGCATGGTGGTCCACACATAATCCTAGCTAGCTACTCAGGAGGCTAAGGCAGGATCACTTGAGCCCAGGAGTTCAAGGCTATATTGAGCTATGATCATGCTACTGCACTCTAGCTTGGGCCAACAGAACAAGACCTTGTCTCTTAAAAAAAAAAAAAAAGAAAAAAAAGGAAAAAAATTAGAGGCAGTAAACTGCCATAGAGCATTCTTTTGTATGAATTCCAACTCTAACCTACCTATGTGATTTTTGACAATCTTCCTGTGTGCTCATCTGTAGCAATCTCTTGGGATTATTTTCAGGATTAAATTATCTATGCATGGGTCATAGTACATATATAATGCCAAGCATATAATACCCACTCAAAGTATTGTGTTTCTTCTTTTCCCTATGCGTCTCATTCAATATACTGGTGCATCTCATATAACTTCCCTCTCATTTTACCAGATGTGATGACTGAAGCTCACCACAAATATGATCACTCTGAGGCCACAGGATCCTCAAGCTGGGATACCCAGAATCCTTTCAGAAGAGAGAAGCTGGAACAAAAATCCCCAGATTCTAAGATGCCACAGGAAGATTCACCTGGAACAAGACAGAAGGTCTATGAATGCCAGGAGTGTGGAAAATCCTTCCGGCAGAAAGGTAGTCTAACATTACATGAAAGAATCCACACTGGTCAAAAACCTTTTGAGTGTACCCACTGTGGGAAAAGCTTCAGAGCCAAAGGCAATCTTGTTACACATCAGCGAATACACACAGGAGAAAAGCCTTATCAGTGCAAGGAGTGTGGGAAAAGCTTCAGTCAGCGAGGTAGTCTGGCTGTCCATGAGAGACTCCACACTGGACAGAAACCCTATGAGTGTGGTATTTGTCATAGAAGCTTTAGAAATCAAAGCAACCTTGCTGTTCACAGAAGAGTTCACAGTGGTGAGAAGCCCTATAGATGTGATCAGTGTGGAAAAGCCTTCAGTCAGAAAGGAAGTTTAATTGTTCACATCAGAGTCCACACAGGCCTGAAGCCCTATGCCTGTACCCAGTGCAAGAAGAGTTTTCACACACGAGGGAATTGTATTCTGCATTGCAAAATCCACACAGGAGAGACACCCTATCCATGTGGCCAATGTGGGAAAAGCTTCACTCAGAGAGGAAGTCTAGCTGTGCACCAGCGAAGCTGCTCACAAAGGCTCACCCTTTGACCACTCTCTTCAAAGGAAGTTATCTTTATGAATTAAGAGTACAAAATCCTCTGAGATCAAGCAACATAGCTAATTCTGTGAATGGAGAATCTTTCAGAAAGACATAATTGAGTAGGCAAACTGACTTTTCTCTTTCCCCCAGATGAGTATGAAAAATAAATGTCTTGTTTATTATCATTATAATGTATGTTTTGCAATTTCTGTCAGTTTATTTTGACCTAGTTTCCCAAGTTATCCCCACTAATCTATTGCCACTCTAGAGATTGTTCTGTGTATAGCAAATACAGATTTTCAATGTGTAACTTACATCACTAGTCTTTAAAAAAAAATCAATCTGCTCGGCGCCTGTGGCTCAAGTGGCTAAGGTGCCAGCCACATACAGCTAAGGTGGCGGGTTCAAATCCAGCCCAGGCCTGCCAAAAACAACAATGACGGCTGCAACCAAAAAATAGCCAGGCGTTGTGATGGGCGCCTGTGGTCCCAGCTACTTGGGAGGCTGAGGCAGGAGACTTGCTTGAGCCCAGGAGTTGGAGGTTGCTGTGAGCTGTGATGCCACGGCACTCCACCCAGGGGGACAGCTTGAGGCTCTGTCTCAAAAAAAAAAAAAAAATCAGCCTCTTATGAATCCCAAGTTTCTTTTCTTCCTTACATATTCAATTTAATCTTATTTTACATTCAAGACCATTAACCGCAATCCATGGGGTAAATCTAATAATCAATTATCTAATTAATAATCTCTTATTGAACTTCATTACCTGGATGATACCCTCAATAGCCTAACAAACTATTCATGTCCGCTGGAAAGGGCCTATCATTTTCTTACAAAAGATTCCATTTTGAGCCTGCAGAGGTTTAGAGTTTGGGCATTGAGATGTACTTCGGTCTTCCACTCCTGAGACAGAAATAATTCACCTATTGCCAAAGGGCAGATGATGACTACTTACTACCTGTGCCATTTTTCAAGATTCCTAAACCTATTATCACATCCTCTGTAAAAGGAACTCCTACTTTGTGAGAGACGTTGTCCTAGTCTTTAGCAACAATAGCAATATTGTGGAGTTGGAGTTACCTAGAGGAAACATAAGTGTCCTTATTACTGAGCCCAGACTTGTAGTTTGTCAATAATGAAGTTCCACTCTCCAACAACACTATCCTCTTCTTCCTTTTACACATGCACAAATAAATTTGGAATATAACCCTCTCAAATTTTCTTTTAACCTCTGAGGGATGAGATCTGAGGAAAGTTGGAGAGGAAAAATTGGCTTTTAGGGGAAATTCCCATTTTTTTATCTTGGCCACCTCTAAAATTTTTCTTGATGAGAATCTATATAATTGAAATAACAAATGATGTAGATGTGTAGTCTTCTTGAGGTGACACCATTCCATTCTTTCTACTAGGTCCTATAAACTGTAGTTTCCTTAATCTCAAAAAGTTTGATAGACAATCTTTATCATTTAATGCGGTAAATAATATCAAAAGTCTTTTAGCATCAAAACAATTTTGGAAACACTGGATTTGAATAACAAAACATTACTCCTATAAAAACTCTTGATAACATTTGAAGATGTATACAAGAATGTTCATTTCACCCTCATTCATAATAGCGGCTCAATGGAAATAATTCAAATGTCTAAAAATAGATGAATAAACAAATTGTGGTATATTCATACAATGAAATGCAACTAAGCAATGACAACAAACAACTGATAACATGCAGCAATATAGATGTATCTGAAAGCTTTATGTTGAGTAAAAGAAGGCAAATACATGAATAGAGCTTATCCCATTTATGTGAACAGGAAAAACTGAAGATTGAATTGAAAGAGACATGGGACTTTATAGGTGAAAAAATGTCATATTTCTTATATCATTTGGTAGATGCATGCATCTGAACAACTGTCAAAATTCTTTAAAGTCAACACTTAAGATCTGTGCATTTTATTATATGTAAAGTATACTTCAATAACCATGAGGCAGTATAAAAATATTGTCCAAAAGTTCTTTGGCCCTTATCCCATGAGGAGATGGGGGTCTGTTTTCACCCCACCCCCTTTAATCTGGACAGGCTATGACTGCTTCAAACAGTAGAACACAATAAAATCTAAAATTTTTCCCCCAACAGAGTACCATATTGTATCTCCAAGGAAAGACAAAAACCTGTTTTGCCTCCCTGGCATTTCCACCATTAAGGAAATGTATGTATGTGGAGGGGGAGGGGTGTGTACAGTTGATCATCATTATCTATGCATTCCATATTTGCAAATATGCCTATCTGCTAAAATTTACTTGTAACCCCAAAATCAATACTCACTAAGCTTTTGTAGTCATTTACAGACATGTGCAGGACAATGGAAAAAAGAGTTATGCAACACTCACATTCCCAACTAAGGTCAAACAAAGCATCATTCTTTCTGCCTTCTTGTTTCATGTCTCATACTGCAAATAAGTATCCTTTTTATGAAATATTTGTTTTTCAGAATTTTTCACAGTTTTGTGCCTTTTGTTGATGATTTTGCCATTTAAAATAACCTCAAGTGTAACACGGAAGTGTTATCTACTGTGTCTAAACATAAGCTGTGATGTGCCTTGAGAACACTCATGTTTTATATATACCTTGGTTCGGGCATGAGTCACACTGCCGGCAGCTATGAATTGATCTTAATGAATCAACAATATATATTAAATAAGGTATCTTTAAACAGAAACGTACATAACACAAAATCATATTTTGACCAGCTGATAAAAATATTGTGACTAGATGATTGTAGGAATCTATCCTGTATTTCTCCTAGGAACAATGAATGGTATAGTATTTACTAAACCAATTTCCACAGAAGATAACTAATGTGAATAATGAGAATCAAGTATATGTGTGTGTGTGTATACATATATTTATGTACACTTAACATTTCTATAGTATATACGGTGTATATTTATAATACATGTCTATAAATATATTTACAATAAATCATTAAATATCAAAATGGTAGATTAAGATGTTAAGCTAAAGTTCCTAATGTATCCAATACTTTTTTTTAAGACTGAAGGAACAAATTCCACTGAAGTACAGAATTTTGCCCTGATAAAATGAACATCTATGTTCCCACTGACTTTCTTTTATTTTTTCATTTTTTTTTTTATTTCTTATAGCATAACTGTGTACATTAATGCAATCATGGGGTACAGTGTGCTGTTTTCATATACATTTTGAAATACTCTCATCAAACTGGTTAACATAACTTTCATGTCATTCTCTTAGTTATTGAGTTAAAACGTTCATACTCTGTTTTTAGAAAGATTCACTTGTACCCTTGTAAGATAAACCATAGAGGTGACCCTACCGATCACCCTTCCTCCCCCCCATCCACCCCCTCACCTCTTCCTCCCACCCCCTTCCCATATTCTAAGGCTATAATTAGGTTATGACATTCCTATAAAAGCTATGAATTAGTTTCAAAGTAGGACTGTGTACACTGGATACTTTTTCTTCCATTCTTGAGATACTTTGCTAAGAAGAACATTTTCCAATTCCATCCATATAAACATGAAGTAGGTAAAGTCTCCATCCTTCTTTAGGGTATTCCATGCTGTACATGTACCACAATTTATTGATCCATTCGTGGGTCGATGGGCATTTGGGCTTCTTCCATGACCTAGCAATTATGAATTGGGCTGCAATAAACATTCTGATACAAATATCTTTGTTGTAATTCAATTTTTGGTCTTCTGGATATATACCTAAGAAAGGAATTGCAGGATCAAATGGCAGGTCTATTTTTAGTTCTCTCAGTGTTCTCCAGATGTCTTTCCAAAAGGAACAAATTAATTTGCATTCCCACCAGCAGTGTAGAAGTGTTCCCTTTTCTCCACATCCATGCCAATATCCCTGGTTTGGGGATTTTGTGATATGGGCTAATCTTACTGGGGTTACATGGTACCTCTCTTTTTTGATGATGAGTATTCATGTCAGTCATCATCAAAGCAAAAACTGCAGCATGGCGTCTGTTTTCTTCCTCTGCATTCCTAACTCTTCTACAAATAATATACAATAATAATCCTAAAATTAAAAACAAAGCTAAAGATCCAATAGAACTTCCAATTAAACCTTGAATTTTAGTAGCTGGATTAATCTGTTCAATACCATCTGCAATGCCTCTTAAGATCTGTCACCATCTATCTTTTGTAGCTTATTTTGAAAAGTTGCATATACTTTATGCTGTAACGTAACAATTTCTTTAGTTAAATTTTCATGATTTAACAAATGCTTTTTAACCTTTTCCCACGGAAATTCTGTCTCATTATACATTACAGGAGTAATATAAAAAGTTGTGATATTCCAATCACATTTAAGTCTGTTTCTTTAAACTTACAAGTTCATCTCCTAACATCACAACAGCTTGCTCTAAATCAGAAATTTCATTATACAATTCAGTGTCAATCTGTTTTTGTGCAGTCCATAATTGTTCTGACTGTCTATGCCAGTCCGAAATGAAATCTGCATTTTAATTCCTTGTGTCAATGCAACACCTGCAGTGGCAGCAGATGCAGTTACCCCAATAATTCCTAGAATGGCAGCAATGATCAGTCCAATAAACCATTTTCCTCTCTTCAAAATTCAGTCGGCCAGTATCTGCAGCACCATCAAGGCAGGGGATTGTTGCCAAGGTCTGGTGAGATTCACTGGAATCCAAACTCCTGTTCATGCTCTTAGAAGATAAAGTTGTTCCTTGACTGGATCAAAACTCACAGAACTATTAATACATGTAAACAATTGACATTTTTGACAAAACAATTCTCCATTAATCTTATTCCAATTAACGTTTCCTTTCAACCACATGAAAGGTAATTTAAGACAGGCCTGAATGTATTTCACATCCTGTGCTTCAAATTTCATTTCAAACAGGGCAGGAGTATGACTAGTATGTTGAAACAATCCTCCTGTCCAAGCCTTAAGAGGCTGCAAAGCTGCAGCTACTTTGCATAAATGATTTTGTTTAGGATAGCCAATTATGCCAGGCGCAGGGGGTGAAAATCCTCCATTCACCCATCGAGTAGCCTTAGAAGTAATAACACTCACTTTGTTCTTATTTAAAGGATACCTAAATTGATCTCTAGGAAGATCAAATGGAAAATGGGCATCAGAAGTGTCTTGTAAATCAGCTCGTGGTGCCCAATCAAAC